TAGTAGTAGTAGTAGTAGTAGTAGTAGTAGTAGTAGTAGTAGTAGTGAGAGTATGAGTAGGAGTAGCACTAGCACTAGCAGTAGCAGCAGTAGCAGCAGCAGCAGCAGCAGGAGTAGTAGTAGTAGTAGTAGTAGCAATCGTCATTGTCGTAGCTATCGTAGTAGTCGTAGTAGCCGGATGCAGCCGGATGTAGCGGGTAGTGACGCTCAAGACCAGCGAGAGTCGTCAGGACCAAGCATGGGATACTACAAGCGCATCCAATGGACGGCTTGGAGTCGGAGCATAATTTCCTTCTGCTCTGAGCTTCCAGCAACGTGGATACATTCTAGGCTTTGACGTAGAAAGTTCTCGTTGTCCTGGAACACTACAGTCTACGAATAGTAGGTCTAGTCATGAGTCATGAATTTTAAGCACAGCGTGTAGTGATTTGTGTGCTGATCCTCAATCATAGTTCCGATTTGGATGACTTGTGCGTCCTGAGCAGTCTTTCGGATGGAACGAAACAAAAAGAAGACTTCAAGCAAATTGCTGCAGTCTTCAACTCCTCGCCGGACTTCTTTCTGCGATCAAGCCGTGATTCAGCCTGGAAATGGGTCCCTTTGATTTGTGTGTGTGTGTCTAGTGAAGAACTTTGAGATCTTGCACAATCATATCAGAAGGAATGAAAGCAGGAGGTCTGTTTATGAATTGTGATGGTGGTAGTGCCTAGGGTTTCCTGCCTGTCGAGTCAAGTGCGCAGAGATCTCAGTCTGTTCCTCCTTCTGAGAGACCTTCACTCGCAAAGCGTTGAGCGCAAATCTTTCTCTTGCTCAAAGGAGGATCTCGAAGACTCTCTTTCTTGACATGTTCCAACCTTGTTAAGTCTTTAATATAGCAACCAAGCGAACATGCAGGCTTATATAAGAGTCAAACCAGCACACACCAAAACAGACCTGACCGGACCAATCCCTTCAAGATTGGCACACGGTCTTGATGGCCCAATAACATGTCAAAGAACTGCAGCCAAAGAAGACTTGTGAATGCTGAGCACGGTCAGGGTTAGTTGATATTCGTTCTTTCATTCAGATTTTGTTGTGTGGCATCAGTTTCGCTGGCTGGAGTTCGGGCTGCCAATGGGTCACTTTTGGACTTGGGCGCATCGTCGTGACGCAGAAATCCCTGCAAGCAGCAACTAGACGACAATGGGGCCCGATGGCAAGAACGCGATGTGAGTAGTGCTGTGAAAGAACAAGGTTTACTTATAAAAATCACATCGTTATAAAACAGAAACCACACAGAGCCACCACCTCATTTGTTGTCGAGGAGGTGAGGTCATGGTTTTAGTCGAGGCTATAACACGGCCTCCCACCAGTAGAACCGTACCACAACGCAAACGCTAGAAAAGCACCGACTCACAACCTCAAATACCCGGCGAAGCCACAGGTGTTACCGCCGTGCATTTTCATGTGGAAACGTACTGCACCACTTCGAAAATGGTAGAAGCAGACCGAACTCCAGAACCACTTCATCCTGCGCCCCCCCAAAACCCGGCCAAGCCAAGGGATGAGGATGTCATGAGTCGCCACGCAGAAGTGTACCACTTTACCACCGAAACTCGTGGACAAAAAAATTGCACTTCTGAGCCGAACACACACACACGGGAAGTCTGCTGAAACGCGGAGGAAACCCGCAGACCGCTGCCCACGGATTGTCCAACTGTGCGTTTCGTGTAGGTTTCGCGCGTCCGACACTCACAAATCAATGAATGCCATACAGCTTGGGCGGTGAAGTGTCACCGGAACCTGAAAGGTCACTCCAATTCCAAGTTCCAAGTCGAGCTACTCAGAGCAACCTGACGAGGGTTCTTGCGAACGCATTGTGTGTTTCCTCAAGCGGAGGCTTCTTCTCGCAAAGCATCTTTTCATAATGCTCATCTTCAATGTCATGTTCATATGTTCTCAGGACTCTTACCTTCTTTACTTTTGCCTTCTTCATCTTCATCTTGTAGATGTATGTGTCCGGTGTAAGTAGATATGTAGATTTTGACATGGGTGTCGTTTTCTCCCTCTTCGTGATCTTTCGAACTTTTCTCTTAAGGCGGCGCGGAAGGCTGGATCAGCAGCACAAAACGTAACCCTCTTGACCTTTTTGGCTCCAAAACGGAAAAGCGTCAAGCTATCGAATCTTCTCAAGGTGGAACAGTGCGCTGAAAAACTGCAAGATTCACCACGCCGAAATTGAGGTTGCGCTAGGCGTTGTGACGCGAAGTCGAAAAAACAACATGGACACTGCGAAATGCTCGGACCCAGAATTGGCCTCGAGGATGTGTCAAGTTTTGTCCTTGCCTGGCCTGTGTGTGCAGCACGACTGCGCTGGACAACTTGAAGTCTACATAGTGGGAATTTGCAGCATCTCTCACCTCAACAGTGACATTGTGGGTGTGTGTGTGTAGGGGGGGGCAATTCAGCACTGTCAACAAGCTGCGGAGCAAGAAGGCACCTCCAATAAGTGCACTGCGTCCCAAACACCATTCTTCCCGTCCCCTTGGCACGCAAGCTGCATCTGGTTCTCTTCATGTCCACATGCTGAGCATCAGGCCAAAAATCTTCGGGAGCTCTTTGCGAATAAGAAAGGCACCTGCGTAGCCCTGAGCAAGAAAGAGCTCCAAATATTTTATGCAAAACTCCAGGATAGCAGAAAACAACAATTTCCATGCCTCTTCAAGGTCCCAAAGGTACACAGAAGAGACGCTGCCCTCAGGTTCCAAAAGGATTTTGTCTTCAAGACACTGACTCAGTCCCAAGGCTGTAACTTCATAATAGCTGGTTGCATATGCTGCAAACACCTAGCACAAGCAAAATGAACTCGCCAAGCAAAGGACAAAGCACAAGAAAGACTGAACATTTTTTGCTTCTAAACCACACGCCCTTTTAATTTACCTTTTTGGCCTTTGCGCAATACAAATACACATGCTGGGCCTCGTTGAAAGTTTGTTCCAAACGTCCCAGGCGCCCTGGTGGTCTGAAAAGCTTCTCCTCACACAGTGTTGATATAATGTGAAGGAATCCAACCTGCAGATCTGTCGAATAGATCGAACGGCATACAATCCGTGCAACCTAGCGAGGTATACAGGAACCTCGGACTGCTTGGATGAACATCAGTATTGCGAAACTCATCTTGGTTCTGGGCCTCTTCCGCTTCACCACCTGGAGGTGAAGGAATGTACCTGCAGCCAGTGCGGAACAAGCACTCTCTGCGCTCGCACATCAACACACAAAGGCACCTGTCTGTCCAGGGAGAACGATGCGAACCTGCTGCACATCAGGACAAGGAAAACGGAAAACCCTTGGACCATGGACCATACCATACATTCATACATTTCATCATACATTCAATCTGAACCCTCAGGAGCCCAAACTCCCCCCATCCCACAGCACCCTAGCGGAAGTCCGTTGAAAATCCGAATCCGACTTGCCATGGAAAGGGCAAGAAAAGCAAAGCTTCTGCGCCCCCAAGGTGCCAAAGAAAACGTCCTGCACACAAGGCCTGTGGAGAAGCTTTAACCCCAACAACTGCAAAACCACCGGTACCATGCTCGAAGGGAAGGCAAATGCTTGTACAATCTGCTTTGTAAGACCCAGAAGCATCAGCATTGCAAGCATTTCATAGACCCCAAGCCATTCTTGCCCAAAAACAACACAGAACTTCCATTGCATTGTCAGAGGCAGCTGCCAAACCTGGCCTGCATGGTAATTGTACTCAGATGCGATGAAGTACCTGCCCCGCTAGATCTATGCATACGATTGCATACAACTCTTCAAACAGTACAGAGTCTGCAAGCTAGTTGCATACTTCTCCAATACAGAAACCAAAAGCATCGCTTAAGGATTCGGTGCGCCTGTTGGCTTTGAGGTCTTCTTTTATCTTTAAGGGGCGAGTGACATAGGGCGCAAGTCCCAGCTCCTGGCGATGCGTGAGCAGGTCGCACCGTGAAGCAAGTTCCGACTACTATCATTCTAAAGTAGTTTTTCTAGAACTATTCTGCACATGTATTTCATGAAATTACTTCTGTCAGATTAAAGCCCTTTGAGCTTGGCTGTGGGGTGCACAGGCTGGATAGAGAAGCCATGTGTTTCTTGAAAGTCAGGGTGGCAGCATACAGCGCAAGTTCTAAATCTCAACTTAAAAGCGGCAACCTGCTCTTCTGCAATTCTTCAAGCTGACATTGCTCTTCTGCAGTGCGTGGTCCCTTTTTGTCTTTTCAAAAGCCGACAAGAAATTCTTTTGGGCGCGCTGCATGCGCTGATCCAAAAGACCTGAGCCTCCAGGCAGTGTGTATCGCCGTGTACTGTGTTCTTTGTTTTACATATCCTCTTAGTTTATGCTTTCGACTCTAGATCTTTGGATCGTTTTATATTGTGCTTCTCTTTGATGCTGTTCATGATTTGTCTAGTACTAAAGCACTTGGGCTCTGCTCAGGTCTTCCGGACACTTCCTTAGACAAAGACGTGAGTGAGAGGGCAGATGGATTCAAGAAAGGCTCCTCAGAGTACACACGTTTGAAGCTCAAGCTCCTTGCTGATTGGCATCTGTCTTCATCAAATCTGCCTCTTACTGAAGACTAGGTGCGGCCAAGCTTCATCTCGGATTCAGATGATTTGGAGACGAATGAAACAAGCTCTTTAAGACAAAGGCTTCAGCCAAGAGGGTTTCCTGGGTTGTTCATTCCCTCTGAAACAGCTCTTGTAACTTAGTAACAAGCAAGCAGCTGTGTAATAAAAAGAACTGTTCCGAGCGGTCAAGTTCATCACTTCTCCTCTTGGACTCTACACAACATGAAAGCAATGACAAAAAAAGTGCCAGCTTTTCTGCTAGGATTCGATCTCTTGATTTCGCCACTTTCCGGTGGGAAGCTTCTGCATAAACAACATGAGCTGCTGATAATCCATTTGTTTCAGCTGTGGAGACCAGTAAATCAGGAATACTGCACACACCTCAGTTGGTTCAGTCCGAATTGTGGTTGAACTACCTGGTATGAGCCCAACTCTTGACACCTCATCAAATTCAACCCTCATTTACTGATGCACTTTCAATGTAAGGTGCTGGCATAGACATGAAATGATGAAAACCCTTCCAGCGGCTCCGCAATGTATGTATCCCATAAGCGAATCACACAAGGAAAGGGAAATTCTCTCAATAGCAGGCAGTTCATCCATCTGAAGGAGAGCTGCAGAAAATCTAGTCCCTGCTCTTCCAAATGATCGTAGAGCTTTTGGTCAATTCGATGCACGATCTCCCGTAGCTTTGCAACCATTTGTTGAATTCCAGGCTGACCACTTGTATAGTGGTCTTGAATATCACTTAAGAATTTTGTCAAACACCAATAGGCTCCAGCCTCCACAGCATCAAGCGTATCATCGCTTGCAGCATCCACATTTATCTCTTCTGGCAAGCAATCAAGCTCGGAAGCCAGTAGGACAACCACAAAAGGAGTTGCAAGGTCATTGATTCCTTGAACATAGCCGCTTGCAGGATGTCGCAAAGACCAAATAAAAAGAATCCGTTCCAGCAGCTGCTGTATTCGCTGATGACCAAATATCGGAAGGCCCGGAGATGTCCGTGGGATGTCCAGCCGAATCTGACGAAGTATGGCCCCATCAACATCCCCACTGGGAGCTTCTGCTTCTACCGGGAGATAATGCCTTCTCCGAAGCTCTTCATATTCCTCTCTTTTCTTTTGCAACCCAGAAGGCTGTCGGTCCTGTACAGGCGGCAGGTAACCCAATAACATTTGCCACGATTGTGCCCTCACTTTGGGATCCTCTTCTGGTGCTCCAGACCAAAGAAGCTCTCTCAGGGCCGCAAGATCGACAGTGGGCAATGACAACCTGACAAATAGAGCTGCAGGTCTTGATAGGGAAAACGAGTCTCCACAACGCAAATCTTAAAGTTTGACCTTGTCCGCTTGTCTTGACTTGTCATGCCATGCCCTATCCCCTATCTTCCCCCACTTCGGCCTTTGAACCAAAGGGAAGCATAAATATGCTTTGGATTGTAGTGATTTCAGCTGGAAAGAAAAGTACAATACTTAATTGATGCCAACCGAAGACTTTATCAGTACCCTGACAACCCTTCAGCCACCAGTGAAGAGCAGTGCTTTTTCTGTGGCGAAGTGGCTTTGCCCCGGGTCTCTCAGCTCATTGCACTTTCGAGTCTTAGGAGAATACATCTCTAGTATTTGTATATATAATTGCATTTCGAGAAGACCACCTTGGTCAAAAGCTGACGCCATAAACTTTGGCTCAAGCCGAGCACGCAATGGTCAAAAGAGACCGCAGAAACCCCAGGTTCCAGCTACCACTGCGTTTTGCAGTGGTAGCGGAGCCGGTTTCGTCCAGGGACCGCGTGATAGGCGCCATGGATCATCCTGCTCCTCCTCCTGGTTTTGCTCCCGAGGATGCCAACTGGCAGACCACGGCCAACAGGCCTACTGGCCCCGCGGCCACCGAAGGCCATTCGGCCGGTGCTGGATCGCTGTCCTCTGATGGGAGTGACCCTTGGGTTCGTCGCGACCCGTGGACACGACTGCCCGCTCAGGAGAACGTGAACACGGACTACTTGCAGTTCCTGCAATGGCGACAAGGCCTTGAAGCTGGACCGGCGACACCTCCCACCGGAGCACAAATGACACCTCCGGTACGAAATGATTTTGTCCGCCTTGGAGCCCAACCAGAACTGCACCCACTACATTGGGGACAGGCTGCACGAGAGGAAGTCGAACGTACCACCGCAGGTCCTCCTCCAGAATGGGATGGGGCTAAGATGGAGTTCCGCGACTACAAGATCAAGGCGAAGCTTTGGCTGCGGACGACTCGAACTCCACCTACCGCCAGGGGACCTATGTTGCTCAAGGGCCTAACCGGCCCTCCTTGGGAGCACATGAAATTCCTCGCAGCCGACGATGGTTGGTTGGATAATCCCGATAACGGTCGAATCCTCATCAACCTGATGGACACCAAGGAGTACTATGGAGAAGAGGAGAGGGAATCCATGCTGGCGGCATGCAGCCGCATCACTTTTCATCTTCGCCGAGCCAAAGGGGAGAAGGCTCAGGCCTTCATGCTGCGTTGGGATGACGCAGAACGCAGGGTGAAAGAGAAGGGTGTTAACCTTCCGGGAGAATATCAGGGCTTTCTCCTGGTAACAGCCCTTCAGTTGACAAGTGACCAAATCAAATTGCTGCTCAACTACACTCGTGGCTCCCTCCAGGTCTCGGATGTCATGGCCTGGCTACGGATCCACGAGACGGACCTCGACATTACCACTCTCGGCAATGACAAGAAGAAGTCCACCAATGAGGTCCACACCATCTATGAGGAGACGGTTCAGGAAGAGGGCGACGTTCTGGACATTGAGGGCGACCTGGTCCAGGACGAGGACACGGAGATGTTGCTAACCACCTTGGCCGAGATGTCCGATGGAGAAAATGATGGACAGACCACCACGGAGATCAGCGAGGGCGAGGCTAAAGAGGTCCTTCTGACTATGCTGAAGGAGCGCCCTCGTACCAGATCCTTTCAGGGGGCGATGAAGGCCAAGAAGAACCGTGATCTAGCTCGAGGTTTTGGAGCTGGCCGTGATGGAGCCCTTCGACCAGGAACTTACAAAGTATCAATCGAAGAACTGAAACGTCGGACGAAGTGTCACCGATGTCAGGAGGTGGGTCATTGGAGTCGAGAATGTCCCAACAAGGGACGGGGCAAGGGAGACGGAAAACCCAAAGACATTCACTACATCACGGCGGAGACCTCCGACGAGATCGAGTTCCTCTACTTGGATGCTGACGCGGCTAGCCATTCCGACCCGACCGTCAAGGACACTCAAGCGGAGTTTGTATACATGAGCGTGCCGCCGATCATCACCCATGAGATTCTTACTATGGAAACCTCTGTTGAAGCGGGTTGCGCTACAATAGATACGGGGTGTCAACGGATGGCCATTGGTCTTGATGCTCTAGAAAGGTACCAAAGCATGCTGCCCCCGGAACTGTACATTTGATTTCGTCGAGAACGACACCAGTTTCGAAGTGTTCATCAAACGTCGTGCACGGAAAGAGTGGCAATTATGCCCAGTTCCCTTGGCCCCCGAGGGAGCTACCTCAAGCCTGCCATTTTTGAAGATGAAACATGCCGTAGTGCACCCTTTTTGATCAGCTTGCCCTTCCTCCTACATTGTGGCATTCAACTACATTTAGACCCCACTTTTGGACTCCTGTTGAGATCAAAGAAACTGGGTTTTTCAGCCAGATGTCATTTGGGTCCGACGGGTGCATTGAGAGTCTTTTTACAAGATTTTTCAGAAGATCAAATTCGGCGGTTGGCAGGGACACAGGACAGCAAACATGTCGAGTATGAGCTACTACGAACGGAGCATTCAGCTGGCTCAACAGAGAATGCTCGGTCGTCCCATTCAGTCCGTCCGGTGAGTGAACATGCAGAGCCGCCCCAAGAGGAACCGCACCGAGGCAGAGGAGAGCATCTCGATGATTCGAGCGTGGTACCGGATGGTACTACGTCTCTTCGTCATGATCACCCCAGCGCTTCGGCATCAAGCTCTCTCCCAGATCCGCATTCCAGGACCACGGGGCATGAGGTCTCGACAGATCATCCAGTCCGCCGATCTCCTAGAGATGGAGGAGTTGGGCGAGATCGTCAACCACTTGGGGGAGAAGCTGCAGGAACGAAGCCTCCAGGAGGCACGAGGCCGATATCCATCTCCGATGACGGAGGCATCCCAGTCCACCGACACCGACACACCGACCGAGTGGAGCAAGGAACCGCAGCAATCCCCACGGGACCGGAAGCCAACATGTGGCAGATACCCCAGGGACTGGATCTCCGATCAGCCCCACAGTGCCACTGCCAGCTCAAGACCAAGCTGTACACCTCCATGACGCAGAAGAACTACCAGCGGCTTTTCTGGCGTTGCCCCCGAGGACGAGACCAACAATGCCGCTTTTTCCAATGGTTGGATCTTCCCAAGAACCTGAAAAACCCGCCAGTCGACTTCCGGGACGATCCGACCTTAGAGGAGCTGCGACTACTGTTTCAGTCACAGTGTCCACACAAGAAGACCACCAAACAGGGGAGCAACGGATTCCGGGTGAAGGAGACCTGCAAGGAGTGTGGCAAGGTGCTCATCGACGAGATCACCGAAGCGGGGAGGGTGCACAATCAGTCCAAGGACCAGAAGGCAGCATCCACCTCATCAAGGAGCTACACACCCTCGCTGGCTCCAGGGACCCCGTCGCCAGTGGAGGAGTACGATTACCAGGAATTTCTTCAATGGAGGAGTCAACAAAGGGGAACAGCTTCCGGCACGCCATGTCAGTCGTGGAAACCACCAGTCCCGGTAGATCCAATCAAGATGATCGAGCCGGAGGACTTCCAGGCATGGCAGAGGTTCAAGCGTCTCCAAGCGGGGAGCAAGGAACGTCGCCAACACCGTTGAGTGAGCGCAGACTGACAAATGGGCTAAGACACAACATGGTGGGCAGGTTGAAGCAAACCGAACGACTATGGCATGAGCTCGACTCATTACTTAGCATGGACCACTCAGAACCCATGGGAACACCACTAGCAGAGGTTTATTCTCGGATCCGGAAAGCCGCCCACCATGGCAGTCAGCAGCTCAAGACTTATAAGGAGCTTTTCAGCATGGATGCAAAACAATTGAGCACGGTGATGGAGATTTGCAATCCGGGGTGTTTCAATAAGCAAGCAGACAATTTTGGATTGCGGTGTGGCCAAGTTTTCGACATTGTGTTGGGTTGGGATTTGTTGAACATTCAATCACAACAACATGTGGTACAGTACATCAAGTCGGAGCGACCGGGACTAGTGTTGTTAGCGCCACCTTGCACCATGTTCAGCACATTGCAACACCTCTCCATTCGAACGCGGCATGCCAATTCCAAGCTGTTCGATGATCATTTGAGAGAACTACGCCGCGCTCGCAACCTGCTCAAGTTTTGTGTGGAAGTTTGTCAACTATGCAGAGAGCTCAAGCTGACCTATGTATTTGAACACCCATGGGGAGCAACGTCATGGAGTGAACCATGCCTAAAACGATTGGTGCAACAACCGGACAGTTACCTAGCTAGGGTGGATCAATGTCAATTCGGACTGGTTAGCAGCCAAGGCAACCCCATGAGAAAACGATCAGGCTTCCTCACCAACCTTTTAGATCTTGCGACGAGCCTCAACCGGACGTGCCATGGAGATCATCAACATGAGCACATAGTCGGCCGTGCACCAGGAGATACGGACAATCGATCACGGATGGCTCAACGCTATCCCAAACTTCTCATCCAGTGCATCCTCGGCACCTACGCTGCTAGCATTGGGCTGAACGCTTCGGAACTTCATCACGTTCACGCATCCCACATCATCACGATTGACGAGCAGCTCACCAAGAAGTTCCAGTTGAATTCGCTTGCCGTGGGAGATGCAGTACGACCCCGGGTGGCAGAAGCAGTACCCCTCGACGTGGGAGTTGCCGAATGTCACGCTATCGAGTCTCAAGAACCTGAAGGTGATCCCGATGATGAAGACCATGGAAGGAAGGGAGACTTTCCAGGCAGTCATCCTTTGTCACTGCCGGCATTGGTCAAGAGAGCGCACGAAGGACTTGGACATCCAGGACAAGAACGCTTCATCAGAATCTTGAAGAGCAGTAAGGCATCATCTCAAGTCTTGGAGATCGCCCGCAACCTCAAATGCTCAGTGTGCG